TTCCCATACAGGGGGGCGGGGTCCCGGGTGCCGACCCCCGGAAGCCCGGAACCCCTGCGGGGTCCCGGGGCCGGGGGTCGACAACCCTGCTTACAACTGTATGATGCGAGGATTCTAACCTGGGTCTCCATTGCCCCACACTAGGACGCAAGTGTGTTGGACATACGTACTATAACATAAGTTCAACCGGCCCCTCTCAACGGTCCTCTCCCCTTTGTCCTAGACAAACGCAGACTTTTCGTCAAGTGTCCTTAGTCTTTACCCTACAAGCAGGGCCATAACCAAGGAAGCGGGCCCTAACTGAGATCTTTAGAAGACACTCTCGCCTTACTTCCATAATTCTCACAATCAAACATATTTATATATATATATACATAAATTTTATCTCAAAACACCTCCTGCAGTCTAGTACAGGAAGGCTAGGTCTCCATCTTGGCCCACCGTGGCCTGGGTGATAGTGCCAGATTTACGACCCACCGCGTTGTTATTTTAGCGGTAGTGCTCTCGCGGATTGCGCTACGATAGGCTTTCGTCTGATAAGCATTCAATCAGGACTCAAAAGGACTCGACTCGACTCCTATCCCACGTCTTCCCGCAGGACTAAAACCCTCCTAGGTGACCACACCCCTTTAAGTCTTTACTCCCTCGGCAAGACGTAGACCCGTTCTTCAGGTTGTGCCGATCAACAGTCGACACTAGGGGTTGCGCCCAAGTGATGCTAAACTTTACCGTGATCTTGGTATTCTCATAAATGCCCCAAGATTAGCACAAGTGGTTGGACGGTGTATCGCAACAAAACAAGCCTACTGCAGGACTACGCAAAGGTATGTCACACATAAAAGGTATTTACTAATCCTCCGTGGGACAACATAGAGAAACACGGCAACATCTCCATATTCACAAAACAAAATCACCGCCAGATTCACAAGCCCGTGACTGCCCTACTTGATCATAGCAAGAAAGCCACACATCCCAATGACAACTCCCAAATAAACCAATTTGCGACCTCTTCAAAATCTCACCCATAGCCAAGCACAAATGTGGTCCTTCTTTCATACTTTATCATTCAACAATCCACTCACCGTGCCATTGAATCTATTAACCACCTTCCATACGAAGGAGGTCTCCCTCAATACGTCTCTCAATCATCTCTTCTCTTTCGAGGATGTACTCTCATGCGACCTTTTTTTAACACGTCTTCCCTCTTTGAAGATGAGTCTTCCAATAAATAAAAGACCGCCTTCCCACAAAAGGCGTCTCTACCATAAAACAACTCAAACTGAGATACCAGCTTATGGGTTCTCAGCACAACTCAATAATAAACATTCGACATGGTAAGCATTCGAGTTTCGAAGACTCATAAATCCTTTAGGATTCTCACACTTTTCTCAAAGCAGACTGCACTCCCTCTTCTTATACCCGGCCCTATCACCCGCTCGTAGGCTGATCGCACGAGTATACCGAAGCGTAGTTAGTTCATATTCATTCACATTCACAGAATACAAAACACATGAGATGTTCCCCATACATCTCTCACACAAAAACCCCATACATTAGGATAAAACCACACACGTGAGAGTGATTTTGATCGTTATATACAAGGATGTAGTCTCAGATTAAGTCTCAACTCAATATACACTCAAGAGTGTAACACTTTCATTGAAGGGCAAACAAATCATGGTCTTGAATTACATATATATACAGATAGAGTTGAATAATCTCAACTCCCACGTGCATCAATATCACACGAAAATCACGGCCTCCCTGACCAGAGCTAAAACTGAAATAGTCTCGATCATGACGTAGTCACACCCCTCAAATCGGAGGGATCAAAGTAATTCAAGACATATTTAAGTAGCCAAGCAACATAAGAAATCATTCATACACAAACCTTACACAGTACACTTATAGGTTTAGGAGTCTGCCTCACATACGCTAAGGTCTCTCCCCAAGTCTTCCATACCCCTGACACATGTTCAACCATACTGACCTAGACACAAAATAGGTCCCATATCTTCTTCTCTCAACGATAAGTCTAGTGGAATAGACTTTTCATTTCGTAATAATGTTCTTAAAACCACTCCTTGCTCTATCCGTAGGAGGTATTCAAATAACTCGGTTCGAGACAGTCCTAACATACCCCACATATATAGTTGTTCTATTGGGGTTCCTCACGCCTACAACTCGGGTTATCTTACCGGACTATTATTACGAAACTCTCTTGGTACATTGTCAGGTTCCCCTGCTCACCAAAGTACGAGATGAGAATCACACAGTCGGTCAGCCTACTACTCTAACTGTTATGTCAATGCATATATACAAGTCTTGGGAAGGTACAAGGGTATCCTTCTATCGGCCCTCTATAACTCGAACCTCATCTCAATCTACAACCCTCTCATCTTGATCGTGGGAGCTCGCATAAGCATCAACAACATTGACCAAGCTCCTTAGTCCTTGGCCACAGGGTAAGAATTTTTGGTTCAGATACAAGTCATACACCAACTCGCACGTGTACCTTGCATATCCTCATTCTCGCACCCTTACTGCGGCCTTTGTTGCGGCCTCTATCCTTGTCTGTCCTCGAAAACACTTTTTTATTAGGAACTTAAACAAGACAACTCCCAATGGAGCTGAAGGAAGCGCAAAGTATTCGGCACATTT